GAGCCAAAATTGCCACAATAGACCAGTCAACGAAGTGGCTTTTTTTGTACGAGAAATTTTGCAGATCCGAGATTTCGCTCTCCGTATATTGTGGAGTTGCAAAACTGAACTACTGCTTTCGTCTTGAACGGAGTCCACGATTTCGCTTAGAGAGACCAAGTTTGGCCTACCAAGTGCCGAGGGCGCTTTTTTTTTTTTGAGATACGGGATGTTGCTCTGTGTAGATTGTGGGTCTGTCAATGTTGCTCCATCAATGACAATATGGGCCTTCATTCTGGTATACTTCTGATAGTAGACTACCCGTTTCTTATTATAACCTGTACTAGTTACTACATACCATAATTGTGGGCAAAGTTTCTATTTTCTGCTTCCTTCTAATTTATTAAGATTGTATTTTGTATCCCGCCGCTATTGAATCTCTTCCTTGGAGCCGCTTTTCTCTCTCTATACCGAGCCGCATCCGGCTCGCGTAGCTGTCTGGGTTCCAAGGGAGAATGGGCCCCTGACATGTGCAAGTACGGATACAGAGTGCCGAGTTCAAATCAGCGTTATTGAGAGCATTCCATTCCATAAACATGCCTGCTGCTGGGCATTTGAAAATCCACGTGGTGCAAGGCGAGATAAACGGCTGGTCCTCGCTTGGAGACGCTACGGCCACTCAGTCAACGGTTTTGGAGTGCTTGGAGCTTGGGGCACATTGAGATAATATACCTGGATGTAGTAGAAGATCTTTCGACTTTTACGCGGTAGTATTACTTGTTATGCCTCAAAGGCGATATCTTGTGACATTTCATATTCACGCGATAAACAGATTGCCTCCAGAATGCCAAGCAGTGCTTGTTTCTCCGTCAATTCTCCACATGGCAAATATACATGCAATATGTACCCTGTCTGATCGATGAATGGATGCTACCTGGCTCACCGCCACTGGGGAACGGAATGTTCACGAGGAGCTTGGCCACATCTTGGCAACTGGAGGTAATGCAGGCACGGCATGCAGAGCCCACTGAGATGCAGCGACGGGTGGAGCTGGGAGAAGAAGCATCGTGATGAGTGAGTGGCCTTGTTTCAGATATTGGTGCACGAGGTTGTCTACCCTAAAGTTCATGGCGAACTTTGAAGTTGAAAACATTGTCCTGTGCTTTGTACGAGGCTGTAAATGGATTGACTATTACAAAATCATCAAATTTCTGATTTTGTGTTTCTTGAGATGACGCTTCTTGTATAAACTGCTATCGGATCCAACTGCTGAATTTGACTCTTGTGAAGCTCCTTCATGTATACAACAGCATCTACTAAGACAGGAGCAGATGCGACATCACACAAGGCGGAATTCCTTGCCGCTCATCTCCCCTGGCAAGATGACCGAGACAGTTAAAGTTTAAGGGGCTTATTGCAACGTGCCACAGGAATTTCTGGCAGCTGGGTTGTATCAACCGGCGATGGCATCGTTACGCAGATGGGAGATGGGTGAAAGAGTATCTATTTGCAATTGAGCCTCTTTTTTTTCTTTTTTAAATTGTAATAGTCTTTTCTTCAAGTGAAAAATAAACACTTTAAGCATACGAAGCGAGGTGCCGAGTATGTATGACTCCATAGACTGCGCAGCGATTATTTCTAACATGGTGTAAGTCGTGTGCACGTAGCTCATGGTACATGGTATATGTGGCTTGCGTCATGTTGAGCCGAGAGCCTGGCGACGGAGACGCTCGGCCGGTCCTGTGAAGCAGACTTCTATTCCCTAAAAGTAGATATGAGGTGATTGGTTGATTCCGCATTGCGCAAAAAATCACAATGTAAATAAAGACAGCAAGTAAAAGAGAGGGCCATTACACTTTTATGGAGATGATGGGCTGTCAGGAGGCATTCCTCGGTCTCACCCATGCTAATACGTACAATTACATCAAATACACGTATTCGGCAGCTTCTTGCTCCCTGCAGCAGAGGAGGATTTTCAAGATTTGTGGCTTGCCCGGCTGGCTGCCTCTTTCGTCTGCCTCTTCCATTCTTATCTTGTCCCATCTCGCGGGATGGCTTGCAGGAGCATGACCCGAAATGGATACGCGCGATCGGATGAGGCTCACCAAAATACGTGTATACATGAACCTCTCACACTTATCGAGCTTTCCCCGCGACATCCTCTCTTCTTGTTTCATTATTGTGGCCTGTTTATTATTTTCTTACCTTTCCTTTCTTTCCGTTTCGTGCTTTGCTATTATTCTTACATTCAGCTTTTCTTACCGTAGCATCCGTAGTCTGCTCGTAGTGCGTCGGACATAGTGGTGGCATACAGGCCAGCCAATCGGGCTGCTGCCCCCTATGCGAGCCAGTCCCTCTTTTTCCTTTTTTCTCCTGGGAACCCCTGCAGCGTGCATCCCGGGCAAAAAACTTGGAAGTGTACTACTTGTAAGAGAAAGAGACAAAAAAATGGGAATAGAAAAAAAAAAAAACGGTCCTGAATGGCTTGAGTGGCTGCAGGGGTAGTCCCTGTGTGGCGTTGTTGCGAGGGACTGTAATTTGTATACAAATGCCATCAAAATGGCGATTGAGTTTTCCGAGTAGACAGCGCGCGGAATGCTGGTGGGAACAGAAGAAGCTGGGCTGACGCTAGAGCAGAGACAGAGACTACGACACGTCCATGCCAATTGTTTGAGCGAGAGAGAAAATAGAGAAGGAGGGAAGAGATTGATTGCAAAGCGAATCACATCGCATCGCACTGGTTTGCGTCGTGCAACCATCTCGGCTGCTGGGAGATTTGTGCCATGCAGCTTATATGCCGTCGTGGCACGCACGAACCCGGCTCATGCATCCGGTGAAGCTGCGCGTCTGCAAAGTGAAACACACACACACGCACACACACACATACAAGAGCCTCGTCAGCTGGATTGAGATAAACAGGAACAGGGACAGGGAGGGACAATCACAGCTCGGCAGAGGCAGCAACTGTGTGGCAGCATTGTGCTGCTGGTATTCCTCCTTTCATCAGCTCCTGTATCAGCTCCTGTATAAGCACCCATCACGACTGGAGTGGCTTCGATGCTACCGGCACACCAAGGGCAGCTAGCTGGATGCTAGCGGTAGGTCACCACTGTAGTAGTAAGGCTGCTAAGCCTGCGGGACCGCAGCGCCGGCCCTATCAGACGCCGCTGAAAGTTGCAAATTGGGCTGTGCACCGCCTTTGATAGGCGGCACAAAAACTCCGGGTCCTTGCATGGGACATGCCGAGAGGAGGAAACATTAGCTGGCAAACAGGAAGCAGGGCAACGATCGGCGTGGCCCAGGGGAGCGAGAAGAAAGAGACTGAAGCAGAGGAAATCGGAAATCTCGATCACATCAATATGACATGGAGCCAAGAGGCTTGGGAGAGGATGGAAAAAGCGGCATTAACGGGAAGAATGGAATTAAATCTGGAATCAGGAGGAGTAAAGGAAAAAAAACAGAGAGAAAAAAAGAAAAAGAACAAAGAATCCATTCTCATTTCAACTCCATCTGGCTGAAACGAGCCTTTCCCACGAAAAGCTTCATGTAATGGAGGGCAGCAAATAAGCCACCATCCAATTGCAAGCACTAAGAACAAAACAAGGTTTCCAGCTGAAGTATCCCGCGCCATCGCCCTCTCAGCCGGCAATCAGTCTGTGACAATTGCTACAGGCACAAGCTCGGCGCAGGGATCCAGAGGAAAAGACACAAAGATTGGGCGCCTCCTGGGCCTCAGTTCCGGTCGCAGGTCCTGTCAAGTGGAGGTGCTGCGCTGTTCTCGACGTGGTGCGACGGGGGGGCGTTGGTTTATTAACTTGCCAACGTACAGATAGAGTCTCGAATAGAAGAACTGGATGCAAAGGATCGAGAGAAGAGAGAGGTGAAGAAAGCCTGCTCCTTTTTCTTTTTCTCTCCCTCGCAAAGCCACTCTTTGTCTGTCTGCGCTGCGTGTGTGACTTGGGCTACGATATACGTCGGTTTACACTGGAATCTTGTCCATAAATCCGGGCCATTTATCTACGATACCACCACGACAAGCATTCATCGCTTCCTGAATAGAGAGAGATAACCAACTCCTTCTATACCACGTCTCTATCTCCATCTCCATCTCTATCATCGCCATCACCACTAGCATCGTCAGCATCCAGATCCTCCTCACCATTAGCGCCGTTGGCTGGCTCTTAATCCGCTACAGGTACAGCTACTAATACCGCGACTACGAAAAAAAAAACCAAAATCAAGGCACACGAGTCCACATACCACTCGCTTTCAGTACAGAAAAAAACAACGTTGGAACGGGCCACGCCGCTTCGGCCGCTAAAACCCAAATTCTCCAAACTCTCTTTTTTTCTCTCCCTTGAGAAGTCGGCAGTTTTTCCCTTCTTTATTCATTCATTTCCAGTTTTCGTTGGGACTCTCAAGCCACCAGCCCAGTAAACTAACTGCCGAGGGTGGAAGTGGTGTGTCTGTCTTGATGGCTTAGAGAGTAAGGCTATTTCTAGTATATGCATTTTTTGCTTTGGCTTGGAATTCCCATCTCTCTTTCCTTTTCACGCTTCCCTTGTTTGAATGAATTCGGCTCGCCTCAGCAACAACATACACTACAGCCATTTGTTTTCATCAAAGATAACCGAAGCGAGGCATTGGCATTGGCACCCATCCGATACTGTTAGATACTACAACCACCGGCTCAATTCATCTGCGCTATCACGAGCCTCCGCTTATCCGCCTCTGGACCCTGGCCGCGCTGCTGCGGCGTCGTTCATGTCTCGCCCATCACGCGCGCACCCAATTGAGCGCCTAGCAAGGAGTTTTACTGTATAGGCGACGGTCCAGCTCGCCCACCTGACCTGACCATCCCGAATAGAGAGGGCAAGACGCCAAACGGGGGGAATAAGATAAAGACAGGCAGATAACCGTATTTGGAGAGCCGGGCATTTCGCTGCGGGTTGATATTGATTGAGGCTAGCTAATACGAGGTCGCATTTCCTTTGGAGGCTTTTCCCTCCTCTCTCTTCGCCATGCCAGGAGCTGCTGCAGACGCTGCAGACGCTGGCGCGGAGGCTGAAGCTTCACCAGCACCAGCACCAGCACAAGCACCGGCTGAAGGCAGAGGCATTGCGGACAACCGCAGCAGTAAGACGAGTAACAGTAATGACGACGGCAGCAGCGGCACCACCATAAGGGAAGCGCCAGAAGCAGAAGCAGAAGCAGAAGCAGAAGCAGAAGCAGAAGCAGAAGCAGAATCAGCACCAGTATCAGTACAAGCAGCGCAAGTAGCAGCGCAAGAAGCAACGCAAATAGCAACGCAAGAAGCACCAACAGCTCCAGCAGCAGCACCTCTTTCGCCACTCTCGACGTCGTCAACGGCTACCAGTCCCGTGTCGCCGACATTCCTTTCCGTGGCCGGGCGAGTCAGCACGCCTCTGAGCCTGTTTGTCGACTCTGCGCCCAGCAGCGGCGGCAAGCAGAAGAAGCTGCCTGCGACATCATCGCCGACGTCTCCCAGCTCCGAGTCTGCAGCAGCCATCCGCCGGCGCTATCTGGCCATGTCGTCGCCCACGGCCGCAGCTGGCCAGCAAGAGTCGACACTGTCACTAGGAGGAATCGCAGCAGCGGCAGCAACAGCGAGGATGCGACGGGAGCTGCGGGTGGACGAGGCGGAAAACGAGGCAGAGATGGAAGAGGAAGAAGTGGACGAGGCGGGCTGGAAGGAGAAAAGCACGGGCTCAGGCACAGGGCCACCGCTGCCGTGGTCGCCCAGCGCAAATCACGACGGCGGCGGCAGCAGCAGCAACATTTCCAATTCCAACTCCAATAATCCATCTGCTCCCGTTTCTCTTAATAGAAGCGCCAGCGATAAGCAGCATGACGCCTCCAGAGGCATCATTTCCGCGCCCCTGCCCCAGAGCCCCGACGCACGCGCCAGGCCCGGCCGACACGAGCGCCCCTCAAATTATGGCCGGGACTCGGATATTGCCAGCGCTGCAATTAGCAACACCACCGCCTGGTCCCCTGCATCTGCATCCGCCTCAGCATCAGCGTCTGCATCGTCGTCCCTGCTGCGCCGCTCGCCGCCCGAGGACCCCCCATTGCACACGGGCAGCGTGCAGCCGGGCACCAAGCTGGCCCATCCAAAGCCCATCCTGCACATCGCCACCGACGAGGCGCGCCATCACCACCACTCGGACCTGCTCACGCGATCGGCGTCCACCATCAGCAACGTTGCCCACCTCGAGGCCACCGCCGAGCGCCTGTCCATGACCAGCTCCATCGACGATGCCATCCGCGACCTGCACGGCGAACTGAAACGAAGCGACAGCAGACGCTCCTCCATCCTCGCCGCCCGCGCCGCCTCTGCCGACGAGCACTCGGCCTCGTCACGCCTGCGCCGCTACCCGTCCAACGGCTCCTCGTCCGCCGCCGCCGCCGCCCGCCAGAAGGGCTACTCTCCCGCTGCGTATGTCATGTCGCCCACAAACTCCCTCTCCGGCCGCATGCGCTCCGGCTCCAACGCCTCCACGGGCCCAGGCCGCCCGGAGCACGACGCCATCAACTCCATCCTGTCCCGCCACGGGCCGGGCAAGAGCTCCGTCAGAAGCGTGCGGTCCGCCAAGCCCTCGCTGGCTGAGATCTCCGAGTCGGAGCCCATCTCCCTGACCCAGCAGGTCCTCGACGAGGCCGAGCACGCCGCTGATAACATGACCGATGCCGATACTGATGCTGAAGCTAGCGCGAGGAAAATGATTCAACAAGACGCAAACTTTGGGGACGACTTCCACGACATGATGGAGGGAGGCTTCCGGAGCCACAGGGCTTCGAACCTCATCTTGGTCAACCCAGACCTGCCCTCCGACCACGATAGCGAAGCCGAGCGGCCCATGACGGCAAACTCCACAAATACGTTCCAGGTGGCCCAGAATGCCTTTGACGACTTTGACGGCGCCCACTGCGAGACGGATACGGAAGATGAGCGTTTCGCTACGGCCGACATGGGACGCTTGCAGAAGCGAGAGAGGTTGCCAGAAGCGCACCACCAGCTTCAGCAGCACCAGGAGCAATACCAGCTCCAGCACCCGCTCCAGCACCCGCTCCAGCAGCACCAAGAACTATACCAGGAGCCTCCGCCGGCCCAAGAGCCTCCCCAACCTCCTGCCGCCCAGGAAGACACCTTCCAACTACGCACCCCTCAACAACGGTCATCCGGAGAGTTCGTGAGACCGCAATCCTACTTTGACGTCCAGTCTGGCCAGCACATGCTGTACTACCCAGCCCGTGTTCCGGCCATGCTCAACCTACCCCCCAAGCTATCCTCCAAGCCCAAGGCTGCTGATCGTAACCAGCGACGCTCGGAGCTCCTGAGCGCCATGATGCAGCCCAAGGAGAAGAGAAAGTCCATCGTCCCCGACCTGGAGCAGATTACCCTGCCTGACCCCCTGAGTGGGCAGCGCAATTCGTTTGCAGCCCTCTCAGTGGCAGACAAGCTCGACGACGTTGACGACGACACTGCTACCACGCCTACACCATATTTCATAGAGGGGCCCGTTCCTCAGTCCAGGGAAGTGACTGCACCACCCTCTCTGGAGGACCTTCGCCGTCCTCAGAAGCTGTCCAAGAACGATGCCGACAAACGCAAGTCAAACATGGACAAACTAAGCACCCTCCCCCCTCACCTCCGGGCCAGCGTGTTTTTCGAGCAGCCGTCTGAGAGCCCCGAGATTGAGGTCAGGGACGGATCAGCCATGGCTACACTCGACAGCATCCTCGACGCCTCAGCGACCGCTCCCGTCAGTGCCTTTACCGACCATTTGTACGCCGGCAAGCTGGGCAACGAGGTATATGGACAGGCGAAGAAGAAGGATGGCAAAAAGAACGCGGCGAAGCACAAATCTCAACAGCTTTCTACAAACACTATTACCGAGTTACCGTCCAAGGGTTCAACTATCAGACTGCTCACTAAACGAAGCAAGAGCAGCTTGCTAGGAATAGAGGCTAACGAGTCTGAAGCTGGTCCTAGTGGAGCTCATGACAACGGCCATGACGGAGCTAACGAAGAAGAAAAGGAGGGAGAAAGAGAAGAGGAGGAACTCGAAGAAGGTATCTTTGATGGCCAGCCCACGACCCTTCTTGGTGAGATCCACCTTCGAAAACAGCGACAAAAGGAGCGACTGCTCAACCAGGGCAACATGGTGCCCCAGCGAATGCGAGCCACTCTCCTAGAGATGGATGCCGTTGCCGAGATGCAGCGCAAGCAGCGCTTAAAGAGCCGCGTGAACCTTGCCTGGGAGGATCAAAACATTCCGGTAGAGCAACACTTGTCAGATGACGAAGACGTGCCTCTGGCTGTCATTGCCGCGATGCACGACGGTGCCAAGAATATGCTCGATCTCGAACGTCCCGTCGGCCTGATGGAGGCTCGCGAGATGGAGGAGAACGAACCCCTGAGCCAACGCGCCGCTCGTCTGCAGGGCCGCGCCTCTGCTGCCTTTACTACTGCCAAGCGCCAGAGCAATCTGAGCCTGGGTCCTACACGCATGGCAGAAGTGCAGCCTGCGGCTGGTTCACCTCGCATCATTACGCCTGACGGAGCTGTAGACGACGATGCGCGTACCACCATTACCGCAGCAGCAGCATCTCCAGAGCCACTTGCAGCAGAGTTTGAAGAAGAGACTCTTGGAGCTAGAAAGCGACGTCTGGCGGAATCGACACTGCCCAGGGTCCGCCCTGTTAGCAACGCGTTTTCCGCCGAGTTTTTGAGCCAGTTTGGCGACCTTGAAGAACCCAAGGAAAAAGAAGGCAAATCGCCCAACCCAGAGGACGAGACCCTTGGCCAGCGCCGCCGTCGTCTGCAGGCTGAACGCGAGGCCCGCGCACGAGAGATGAGCTATGGCAATCTGACGGGTGAGAGACTGACGGCTTATGGAAATCTGACGGGCGAACAGGCCAATAGGCTGTCTCGCCGAGTGAGCATGGCCGATATGCTCTCTGTGCACCAGCTATCCGAGGATCCTCGAATTGCGGAAGAACGACGCCGGCAGGAGGAGCATATGAGGATCGCCGAACAGGACGCCAGGATGGCTGCCGTGAGGGCTCAGATGCCCACTGCCCTGGTGCTGCCGGGCAACGCTCGCGCAGGAGGCTTCAAGGGCGGCCAGTACAATGACGGAACAGGCGGTTTCGGCCTCGAGGCGTCTAGATCGACGGCTGCTCTCAATACGCTGCATAGCCGGAGCTTCACCAATACTGGTCCTAGAAACCACCGGGCTACCATGATGATGCCGCCTCAGACTGCCTATGGCAGGCAGCAGTCGTATAGCGGGCTGACTGGCATGAATCAGATGGCTGGTAACCCAATGTACAACACCGCGCGCAATCTGTATAATTCCAATGGAGTTATTCAGCTGGGCACGGGGATCGCAGCGCCGAATGGCAGCTTGGATCGCGTTGAGAGGTGGCGACAGGGTGTTGCCCCTTAGGCACTACACTGACATTGCTGTTGGAGCATTACTTGGCATATTTTAAACATTTTCTTTGTTTTTTCCTTTTGACTGTCAAAGAGTCATATATAGCCTATATAACTGCCCCTTTAGTTGGAGGCAGCGTCCGATCTGTTTTCGATCCATACACGCCTTGGTTTGTTGTTGTTTTTTTGGATTTTTGTTTGCTTTGTTGTCGGGAGAGGAAGAGGATTAAGTGTATTTTAATAATACTGGTTAAGCATTGCGTGGCGCCTTTGGGAAGAAAATTGGAGTTTTACATTATACTTTTTTTACAATGTGTGGAAGGAGTGGAAGGGGAAGAAGACGAAGAATTGAAAGCAGACTTGTGTGTGTTTCACTTTAAGATTATTTTCTCTAATGTAGATGGGGGAGACGAGGTTTCTTTATTAAGGGAGAGAGTAGAGATTTAGTGGGTATATGTATCAATGCATTTGGATGTTTGTCTTTTGACTTGTCTTGGTGTGCGTGCTGTCTCTTGACGAAGTGTTATTTGAAGCGTTTCTTTGTAGGGCATATGTAGAGATGTTGTAAAGCTTGTTGAGTTTGGGAAGTAAGGTGTGAAACGGGGTACTGGAAAGACGGGATATGAAAACGAGAGTGATGGGGTAGAGGCATGAGAATGGGTTACCTGGATTGATTGGTGTCATGGAATGACTTGTCTAGGATTTGAGTATGGATTGCTGGATTCTTGTTAGAAGCGTTAAGATCTGGCTTATTATAGTTCTAATTCTTGGTTTGAAGATGGCTTCTGTTTGAGTTGACAACGGACTACTATCTATAAGTTACTTGGATAGATGATAGCCAGAAATAGTGTCTAATGACATGGGACATGTCTATACTGCTCAATAAGCGTGATTATCACTTTGCAAAGGGCTGAAGGCTGTGCTGAGATGTTGTGGAGAGAAGAAGATATTGAAGATGTAATGGCTGTGATAGCACCATTTGAGGCTCTCTAGCCTTGGTGTTTTATATGCACATTTAACAAGCCGTTCTCGGCACCATGGCGCCATTCTCAAGCCACTAGCTTTGGCCTGCGTACGAGATGTTGCCCGTTTAGTTCCCCATTGAGCAAGCCTTGTGGGCTGCAAAAGTCCTATAGCGCGTGGAACTATCCGTTTAGTGTCACTCTCTCCGCGTTATTGTACATGGGGTTCAAGGCATGGAGCTTTCAGAATTCGATGTTGTGAACGTAGCTACATTTATCATTTTTCATTATTTCGAGCATTGGTATCGTCATTTCTATTGAGAAATGAAATACTGACAGCTGAGTGCTTCGCAAATCCCAATTCAACCTCGTGTATAGATGCCCGTTTAGGCAACACAAAAAAATGCAAACACCCGCCCACAGTGGAGAGCTCAGCCGCTACAACTCAAAATTGGGTGAGCCAGGGGCCCGATTGCGATATCAGTACTAAAAGGCACTCCACTATTAGACCGCGTATGGATGGTTGAGGGGGGGAAGATAACGAGCTTGCTTGCTTTTTTTTCTTTTAACTACTGACATGTACCTTGTTCGTGCCGAGGTGCTTACGGTCTTTTTTAATTTTTCTTACCTTTTCTAAGATGCGGGAGCTTCTCTTCTCTTCCATGAGTTGGATGCTGTAGAGAGTGTCTCTGTGTGAGACATATATAGACGCAAGAGGAGGCACGTGTGTAACTGACTTACACGCAGTTGGCAAAGCCACAGCTGAGGAGTGTCCCGCTTCGACTTCTTCTTGCAAAGTTCAAGCTGAGCAGAAAAGAAAGCTTGGAGTAGCTGCTGAAGATACATACTACAAAGGGTTTAACAGAGAGCCATCAATCTCCAGGGCATGACGAGTGCAAATCGAGCATCTGCTTCCAAAGCCGCACCGCCAAACGCAATGTCGCCGCTCATCGACCGATCTGAAGGAGGAGGAGGAGGAGGAGGATACAACACAAACTACTACGGCAAAGACAACTCAGACGTCAAAACCACTGACCATGGCATCGACATCGAGCAGCAAGCCTCCGGCTTCATGGACGACGACCCCGTCAAAACCCTCGGCGACCTCGACGGCGACCTCGTCACCGCCACCGAAGAGCGCGATCTCAAGCGCGGCCTCAAGGAGCGCCACCTGACCATGCTGGGCATCGCCGGCGCCATCGGCACAGGCCTATTCCTCGGCCTCGGCAGCGCCGTGCAGACGGGAGGACCCCTCGGCGCATTGCTCGGTTATGGCACCGTCGGGCTGGTCGTGAGCGCCGTGCAGTTTGCCCTGGGCGAGGTCTCGGCGCTGCTGCCCGTGACGGGGTCGTTTGTAAGACACGCTGAAGTGCTGGTCGATCCGGCGCTGGGCTTTGCGGTGGGCTGGAACCTGGTGTATGGCAATTTGCTGTCGATTCCGAGCGAGATTACGGCCATTTGCGTGCTGTTTGCGTATTGGCTGCCGGACCTCAACCCGAGCGTGTGGATCATCGTCTTTATCATCTTGACGGCCGTGGTGGGCTTCTCGGGGATTCGCTGGTTCGGCGAGATCGAGGCCTTTTTCGCGACGCTCAAGATCCTCATGGTGGTGTTTCTTATCATCTTTGGTTTGGTGATTGACCTCGGCGGCATCCCCGGCGTGAAGCCGACGTACTTTCGCTTCTGGAAGAACCCGGGCCCGTTTGTTGAGTATATTGCGACGGGCAACTGGGGCAAGTTTCTGGGCTACTGGAGCGTCATGACGGGTGCCGTCTTCTCCTTTGCGGGCGTGGAGTCGCTGGCCATGGCCGGAGCTGAAACTGCAAACCCCCGAAAGGCCATCCCCAGAGCCTGCCGCAACGTCTTCATCCGCATCATCCTCTTCTACATGCTGGCGATCCTCATCGTCGGCATGATTGTCAGCTCCGACGACGACCGGCTCAGCGACGAGTCCGGCACCGCAGCCCAAAGCCCGTTTGTCATTGCCGTCTCGGCCGCGGGCTATCCCGCCGTGCCGTCCGTGATCAACGCCATCGTCATCACGTCGGCGTGGTCGTCGTCGAACCAGGCGCTGCTGTCGGGCACGCGCGTGCTGTACGGCCTGGCGCTCAAGAGACAGGCGCCCAAGGTGTTTCTGCGCACGACGTCGTGGGGCGTGCCGTGGGTGGCCACGACGCTGTATATCGTGTTTTCGTTTCTGGCGTTTATGAGCTTGAGCAACGGGGCGCTGACGGCGTTTTACTGGCTGATGGACCTGGTGGGCGCGGGCGTGCTGGTGAGCTGGATCTGCATTGTGCTGAACCACGTGAGGCTGCGGATGGCCTTGAAGGTGCAGGGGATTCCGGCTACGCGGCTGCCGTGGCACAATAGCTGGACGTGTAAGTGCTTGATGTTAACTGGCTGTATCTATATGAGATGATGAGACTAACATGATTGCCACAGTGTACAGCTCGGCGGCCGCGCTCTTCATGTGCAGCATCATCCTGCTCACAAACGGCTTCTACGTCTTTACAAAGGGCAACTGGAGCGCCAGCGGCTTTGTGTCTGCGTATTTGTAAGTCTTTCTTCTCGAGTGTCTATTTCTCAATGGCTAACATGGGGAAAAAAAGGGACATTCCGCTTGTGCTTGCGGCGTATCTGATATGGAAGTTTTACAAAAAGACAAAGATTGTCTCGCTCAAGGAGATTCCCCTCGAGGAGGCGCTGATGCAGGCTGAGTTGAAGGATGCGCTGGATGGGTCTTCGTGATTCTTGCTTTTGCTCCAATTGTTTTTGCCTACCTAGTTATCCTAAATGTACATATATGAATACGAGCGTCAAGATATTTCAAACAAATATCATTACTATAATATATATATGTCTATATTCCCTCATGACCACATTTTGGTATCTCGTCTCCAATTCTAGTATATCCAGTCATTCATTCGTCATATTGCATCATCTCATCCTCCCCCATCGTCCCCAGCGTATTCTCCAACACCCGTCTGCACCGTTCCCTGTACTCGAGCGCCAGCCGCTGATTCGGCGACAGCAGCTCCACGTCGTCGCCCACAACCTCCATGTCCGTCTCGTTGAGCCGCTCCAGCTCCTGCAGCACCTTGTGCTGGATAATGGCCACCGTCTGCTCCAGATACTCCTGGCACTCGTCGTTGACGTGTCCGGAGAAGAATCGCTCTTGACGCTGTCGCACTGCTTCTTCCTCCGAGGGGAATGTGTTGGAGTTTAGGGGAATGAGCTTGATGAGCGGTATGGACGAGTGCTGCAGGAGCGTCATGAGGATGTCCCACACCATGTCGTGCTGCACGTGCTTGAATGCCCCGAGGAGGCCAAGCGCTGGGGGGTTGATGAGGAGAGCCTGTTTGGACGTGGCGAGCAAGGAGGATGGATCAGTCACGGGCCGGAGAGAGATGAGATACTCCTCGGGCACGCTGCTGCCGGATTGAGGGCTGGACGGCAGAGGAGCTGAAGGGGCGGTGCGTTTCCGCACGTGGATATAGTCGTTGTGCAGCTCGTCCGTGACGGGCAGCATGAAGCCGTAGCCCAGGAGCAGCTCGGCATTCGTCTTGGGGCTGTAGTTGTTGAAGATTTGCTGCCCGGGCCTGTGCTCCCTCCCAACCTTGAGCTGACACGCAGCCCCTGAATTTGTTGCGTTTGCAGCGTCGAGCTCCCACTTCACATCCACCGTCATGTCGTGGTTCCCAATGTCAAACAGCGGCAGCAGCACTGAAAAGTCATCAACCGATACATCCTCCGGCAATGCCTGCTGCTGCGCCTCCGACATGACCAGCGACGCCCTAAACGAGCGGCTCGAGAAGATGCAGTACGCCCAGTTGTACAGCTCCCTCGTCAGCAGCTCGCTGAAATCATCCTCGGCATCCTTCTGCGACGCAAGCAGCAGCGCCTTTGCATCGCGAAACTCCCTCTTCAGATCGGCGCGGATCTTGTCCAGCCCAATCTCGACATTCGTGCCCTCGAGCAGCTCGGCCTCCTCCTCGGGCCAAAACGGCGGCAGCGCCCAGTCGTCGACGTCCTCGGGCTGCGGCAGCGCCTGGATATAGGGCCACCAGAAGGACTCCTCGCCCCTGAGCAGCTCCTTGATGAGGAACAGGCGGCCAATCACATGGGGCTTCGTCTTGGAGAGAAAGTCCCGGGGAAAGGCGGGCGTTGGCTGCAGGGCGTTTGCGTAGGAGAGGGAGAGATTCGTCGGCAGGCTGACGATGGGCTCGTAGGGCGGGATGGGCGAGGCTGAGGGTTTGACGCGGAACGAGAGGCCCGTCTCGGGGTCGTCGTAGACTTCGGCGGAGGGATGCAGCGCGGCGTGGTGGGAGGCGGCCCAGTCCAGCAGGAGGGAGATGCGGTCCTGGATGGAGTCCATGGCGGTGATGGAGCAAAAGGAGTGAGCTGGAGTGAGCTGAGATGAGGTGAGATGAGATGAGTCGAAGTGAGTGAACGACGGCCCTGTCTTCAACTGACAAGGCCAAGAGATTCGCCCCTCGCGCTATCGCCCGGCGATGAGCAGCCTCATCAAACCCAAGCTGCTATAGCCTCAAACTCGCAACGAAGATGACGCCTGAAATTAAACTCTATAACTGCGCAGAGCCCGCCAAGCGCTCGTTTCTTCTCATCAATCAATCTTGGGGAAAAAGTGAAAAAATCCCCCGCACTAAGGAAATTGTCCTGCCGTGTTAGTGCATCGCGTCCGTTTGTGGCAGCGCGCCGAGGTTTAGCAGCCACTAATGGCGCATCTGTCCATCTCGGCCAAGCTTCATTGCAAGCTCAAAGGGTATTCGTATGTAGAATGAGGCTCGATCAATTGCCCAGTGTATCTGTATATACATCTTGTCTTGGGGACTCACTGCCCTTTATAGCTGCCTACCTACAGTATGTATATATATGTGTGTGTGCTGTTAGCTGTAGCGTCGCATTTGACGAGTCTGAGATGGTCTGCATCAAACTCGCCTTAGAGACGCACACTCCTTAACATGATTGGTCCCAACTCGGCTACCTATATGATTGAAATATATAAAAAAAAAGGCCAGACTAGAGTATTTCGTACAGTAGCAGCAGCAAACATGAACCCCCCTGTTGGTTCAGCCTTCGCCTCGTATTAGGTATGTACATGTATTCACAGGCGCACCGCAAAACGCAACAATAGGGAGAGCAGGCCGTAATTCCTACCCTTGGACGTCTTATTTCCGCCCTATGCCCCACGAAAAACGACTGGCTCAGCTCCGCCTAAACCTGCTCACCGCCAAGCCCCATTTGGAGGTCCACGCAGCCTACATGTATACGTGTACTATGCGGTAATGTGGACGACTAATTCTCCCGCGGCTTCGATATAAGCAGGGCGCGAAGGATATACTGCAAATATGCCTATTGGGTAAATTGACCGAGGATCGGCTGTCATCCGCTTAGGAAACGTAGCTGTATTGTACGAGGATTATATGACATCTGTGGCCGAATACATGTCCTATTTCCTCTCTATGCTCCTCATAGTACATAGCGAGAGAGTTGGCGCTCATCACTTGCGTTATAGCATCCATCTCCTATCGGCCTCTTTACACGTTTTTTTTCCCGCCATTCCTGCCTTTTTGCGAACAGATAGCAATAAATTGCCATGTAGACAAAGACCCAAAAGGTAGAATCCTTGTCTTACACCGTCATCTTGTCTGTCAATCTCGCAATCTCGCAATCTCGCCCTCGCCCTCGCCCCCATCCCATCCCATTCCGATCCATCCCATCCCATGTCGCAGCCGTGCTTTCGATCCATATGGAGCGAGAAGGTTAAATCGAATCACAGATGGAGAAACGTTCTCATGCCCGGCCGGTTCGGCAATTGGCAGCTTAGCCGGCCGTGCTGCCATGTCCACATGCTTTATCTGGCTTTATCTGGGCCTTATCTGGTGCCGCGATCCGGAGCACTTTTGACAGCAGGTTGATGTGCCTATCGGGCAACAGTTGGGCTTGGGTAGTAATAGGCTCGGCCCAACGCCACTGGATCTACTAATACGTGCATTAATAATCACGGACGGTGAATTTGCCGTATAGATCGGATACTGTCGCAGAGTATTTCTATAAAGCATGTTTTATACCAATTGTGTACCTGTTATGAAAGACGTACTTTGATCTTGGATTATTTTCATACAAGATTGCCTTTTTCCTTTTAAATCTGCCACTTATCCCTTTGCAAAGTCCTCCTATCGTGATTGATCTAGATATTACCCGTAGCGTATTATTTCTTTGGAGCTGTATCTACTAATACGCTGCTCTTACTGTGCCAGAGTTGTATTGCATTTTGCCAAGTCAGCGTGGGCCTTGTGAGCAAAATAGTCTAGAATAAGGTTAGTTGTTTTAGCGTCTATGATCTTATTTACACACTAGCGCTAATTATACCACTGACCTAAAACGGCAATTGATAATTGCTGTTATGTGTATAATCTGGCATGTGTTGCTTTACTAGATGTAATACTAATAGCCCTAAAAGACAATACTAACCTTTATAGTCTTAGTCTGCAATTCTGACTTATAATTTTGACCTCTTTAGGTTTGTAATAAAGAATGATTATACTGATATAGATCTAGTAAACTACAAGAGAAAAGTAAGCGGAATAATATCATATATTTATACGCAAACTCTGGCAAAGGCGTCCAATTGTTAAGGCATATGGCGGTATATCGTTTACCCTTTATCTATACGATACTAAAGTATATCAGAACAGAAAACTCTTATAAACGTGAGATTTTCGCTTGGAAAAGGCCGAGTCTGGTTTCTAACCAATAGTGTGATATATCCGAAACAATATTCGGCGTTAGATAAACGCGACGACTTGATCAGATAAAGAGTTGTATAAACTAAAAAGCGTATTGGCTTACAATTATCTTTCCTAGCCGCTTGACTGATTGTGGTAACAAGTACAGGCTTTCGACATTTAGGTGAACAGAACGACTCGATCAGGTAAACCGACAGGTCACAGAGCGTATTATCTCACAAAACTGGAGTGTACAAATAAATTCCTTGTGTATCAAGTATCATGATACCCACAGTTCAATTGAGCGAGGCAAGCGGTAGCGTACACGTACCAACGGTTTGGTACGTGAGCTGGTTTTGGCCAATCGCATTCCTGGTGTTGTTGCTGCCATTACAGCTGATTAATTGATCAATTGGCCAGCATTATGAATCAAGTCCCACGTTTTGGGACGCCCCAGGCTATATATCACAGCACTTTTTTATCCTCACGTTGTGCATCCCTGCTGCTAAGACAACGCACTAGTCAATATTTGCTGATCCTCGCTCCATCTCCACAAATCAACCGTACTCTAGTTTTTCATCTACTGCCGGATTTTGTACTAGACTGGTGGCACGGAGCAAAGCCAATTGGTCCACGGCTTCTCGACTTTTTAGCTTGGAGGACCAACGCTCGTTATCTACATGTAGCTTCAGGTCCTCAGCCGTGAAGTAGCAAGACGGACAAAACAGTAGAGGCTAGAGGCACAACGCAGAGATTAAACAATAGGTGAAACGGCTATCACGTACAATCTCGCAATGCAACCTCGCATGTATGGGCGCATCAGATCGCAGAGATTCGGACACTTGGCTCCTTCGGCTTGCTACTTTCATGCTGCTACATACAGTAGTGCCTTGCTAAGGCCGATACGACGGAGCAAGATGCCTGTAAAAAGCTGCCACTACTAAGACAACGTGCAGCCCATATACATGTATCTACCTACATGTAGGGATAGGTAGGTACACATACTGCATGCATTTGTCCGTGCTGTATCCGTACCCGCTGTGCTGTAAAAAGACCCTGCACGCCAACAACCAACAGCCAAGTCCATACTATCCCGCCACCAACAACACGGAATAAAGAAGAACAAAGAAAAAAAAAGAAATTAAAGCGTTAAACCACAATTATGCTAGAAATGCTACGTATTTCCGTCAAATGGACTCACATACGCAAAACCCATCAAACCCACCCTCTTTACCCTCCCTTGTCCAGAAACTTCCCGTATCAGCCTAGAACAACAACAACTGCAGCCGGTCAGCTCAAAGAATGCAACCTTCTCTCTCTCCCCCTTGCCCCATCCCTGGTCCGGAAATACAGCTTCTCGCTGCATCTGAGACCCGTAGCTGTAGCCGTAGCCGGGGTGGGGCTTACTAATTCCGAGGAGATCTCTCTCTCTCTCTGTGTGTGTGTTGTTAGAGATGCCGAGAAGTACATGTAGGCAAAAAAAAAAAAGCAGGCTGCGTATTCGGAGCTGAGCTTGGCTTTTGGCACATGTTGTGTAGCATTCCCGTTTTTTTTTTCTGCCGCTTTGGTTAATAAAAGGGTCCTGCCGCTTCTTTTGCAATTCTTCAGGAAGGAAAGGCTAGGATTTTTTGTTTCACGCTTCAGCGAGCGTTGGAGCGAGTGTCACTGCCGTGTGTCTGTCTATATATTGTGTATACAGACATACATATATATATGGTCAACAGCTGCCGTTGGTCTTTCTTTTTCCATTGAGCCACTCTAGAGCGGTTGCTCACTCACATACACACTCTATACCCATACAAACACAGAGTGTATAGTGTATAGTGTGTAGTGTATAAGTGGTGAATCTAACAACTCGCCTCCTCATCTCTCTCAACAACACTGTCGCCATGACAGACGAAAAGGAGGCCGTCACGGCCCCCCCCTCGTCCACCATGGGCCTCGAAACGCCCTCGTCCGAGAAAGAAACGGCCGTCAACACCTCCGACGAAGAATCCGCCCAGCCATCCACGCCCACCTCTCCGCCCTCAGAACCCGTCCGCTCCATCACCGGCCTGCGCTGGCTGCTCGTCTGCTTCGCCCTCTACGTCGGCACCTTCATCTACGGCCTGGACACGACCATTGCCGCCGACGTGCAGGGCGCCGTCGTCGAGCGGTTCGGCCACGTCGAGCAGCTGGCCTGGATCGGCACGGGCTTCCCGCTGGGCTCCATCGCCGTCATCACCTTCTGGGGCAAGCTGTACGGCACCTTCAACATGAAATGGAGCTTTGCCGTGGCCATGGTGACGTTCCAGGTCGGGTCCGCGCTGTGCGGTGCCGCGCCCACCATGACGGCGCTGATTGTCGGGCGTGTCATTGCGGGAGCCGGCGGCGCGGGCATCTTCATGGGCACGCTGCAGTACTTCACGGCGCTGTCGCTGCCCCGGGAGCGCGGCACGTACCTGTCCGGCACGGCCTTCTGGTGGGGAATCGGCGCCGTGCTGGGCCCGCTGGTCGGCGGCGGCTTCACGGAGAGCAGCGCGACGTGGCGCTGGGCCTTTTACATCAACCTGGTGCTGGGCGGCGTCTTTGCGCCCATCTACATCTTCGGCCTGCCCGACGTGCACCCCGTCACGGGCAAGAGCGTCGCCGAGCGCGTCAAGACGCTCGACTACCTGGGCCTGCTGCTGGGCGCCGCGGCGTGGGCCACCTTCACCATGGGCTTCAGCATGGCCGACGGCCAGTGGCCCTGGAACGACGGCCGCACCATCGCCACGCTCGTCGTCTTCGGCGTCGTCACGGTGCTGTACCTGCTGCAGCAGACCTTCTGCTGGTTCACGACGCCCGAGACGCGCCTGACGCCGGTGCACCTGCTGCGCTCGCGCACGCAGATCCTGCTGTCCCTCTCGACCGTCAGCTGCATCGCCTCGCTGTACATCCAGACCTACTACATCCCCATCTACTTCCAGTTCGTCCACGGCGACTCGGCCGTCAGCGCCGCCGTGCGCCTGCTGCCGCTGGTCATCGTCACCGTCAGCTTCAACCTGCTCTCGGGCCACTTCCTGTCGCGCATCCAGTACTACATGCCCCTGTACGTCGTCTCCGGCGTCCTCGTGTCGCTCGGCTCGGCCCTGCTCACGGCCTACCTCGACCCGGACACGCCCAAGAGCTACATCTACGGCTTCACCGTCCTGACCGGCGTGGGCACCGGCCTGACGATCCAGATGGGCTTCACCGTGTCCACGCTCGTGTGCGACCCCAAGGACCAGGGCAACGCCCTCTCCCTGCAGAACATCTTCCAGGGCGGCGGCCAGGTCTTTTGGCTCGTCATTGCTGGCCAGGTCTTCCACAGCACCGCCGTTAGGAACCTCACCGAGGTGCTCGCCGGCACAGACTTTTCGCAGGCCGACATCGAGGCTGCCATTGCCGGCGCTCAGAGCGTCATCTTTGAGCAGATCTCCGGCGATCTCCGGACCCAGGCCATTTTGGCAATTACAAAAGCCATGCAGCGCGTCTTTATCTGTATCTGCGCCGGAGGCGGTGGCATGATTGTTACCGCTCTTTTGATGAAGCGCGAGAAGCTGTTTGGCGAGATTATCGTGCATGCTGGCTAAAAAAGGGGGGGGAGGAGCAGTGAAGCAGAAGAGAGAGAAGGAAAAGGGTTTTATAAGCGGTATGAAGGATATAACTGCATGAAATGAGATTCAAGGCGTAAAATGATGTATAGACAAGAGATGACTTTCCTTTCATTGTTTGGCCTACTTTGATTAGTATAATAGAGGCAAGGAAGATTTTGTTTTGGAACTGGATTAAATATGAATGACTTTTTTTTCTCCTATAATGATGTACCGGTTGTACTGAAAGCATTAGTATTAATAGCATACTGGACGCCTCGAAGCGCCCAACAGACAAACATGTGCAAACTCATTTACCTATATACAATGTGAACAAGTCATTGTGAAGCTTTATGTGAAGCACGGCGTCACTCGGTTCCGCCCAATAATCATGTCGTAGAGCGTAAACGGCTCCATCGGCAGCTCCCTCAGATCCTGCTGCGTCCACGCATCCGGCACCATCCGCTTGACCAGCGTCATGGATCCCAGCGGCCGTCGCTTCACCGAGCTCTCCAGCACCTGAGCCATGCACGTGCGCTGCTCCTCCGTCCGCGACTCCAGCCCGATGATGAATAGCGGCCAGGGCCGGTCGCAGTACTCAATCTCGTTGAGAATCTGAAAGGCCTGGTCCATGGCGCTGGCGAGGCATTTGGACGTTTCGGACTCGCCTTTTGCCATGCGCAGGAGGTAGATGGTGGCGGCGAGGCGGAAGAGCTCGGCGATTTGGGTTTCCTGCGTGACTTGCTTTGTGTCGCTGGGTAGGACGGCGGCTTGGCGCTGCTCGAGGTATTTGAGGCGGATTTCGAGGGAGCGGACGGCTTTGAGGTGGGATTCGGAGAGGTAGTTGGGGTGGCCGGGCTCGTAGACGTTGTCGACGACCTGGCATAAGAGGTCCAAGAGTTCCAAGGAGCAGCCAAGGATGGGCACAATCTTCACTCAAATCAGTAACATCTCAATTTTTACCCTGTTTCTGATATCACTTACAGTCTGCCTCTCAGGTGAAAACACGGCCTTGGAAAGAACTTTTCTCTGCCCCGCCAGATGAATCTGGTCCTGATTCCTCTTCCCCCAGTGCCGAATACTAAACTTGTACATTGCATCGTGATAAAAGATCCAGTCGATAATCATTGCCTCGTCTCCGAAATAAGTGTCGTGCTGCTTGGTGATCATGTTGGCGAGCCTCTTTGTGCCGCAGAAGAAGATGGCCCAGTTGAGATCCGAGGTATCAAAGTTCAGTGTCTAGTAAGCCATGGTTGTATCAGCATAATGCCTGCTTATAGTAACTCTGCAGATGGAACAAACCTCGTATATGTTGAGCAGCATGCTCGCCGCCATCATCTGCATGCACTCTGCCGCCTTTGCCGTCTCAATCGCCGTCTGGAGAGCGCGAATCGCCGCCGTCTGGTGCATCACCGCGGCCTTTTCCATGGCCAGATGCTGGTACGACAGCGCGCTGATGGCATATCGCGAGGCCAGTGACGGCAGGCTGTCGTCCTGAAAGGCCATTCGGACCAGCAGGCCGTAGAGCTCGTCGTTGCGGTTGCTGGACGACAAGATCCGCGCAACGGGGCTCCAGGCTATCGACCTCCTTAGCTCAAGTACTACACTTATAATATGTCTCATGTTGTCTGCGGCTTACAATTGGTAGATAGAAAAGGATCTACCTTGGCCATATTCAGGTCCGGCTGCCTCACCCACCAATGCTCAACCGCTTCATACTTCGACAGAGCTTTAGACACAAAGAAACCCGTTCGTTAGCCAAGATCAGAGTCACAGAACTCAAAGCTTCATACCGTTCTCCTGCGACGCCCTGACATCCTCACTCGTCGCATGCACAAAAATCGCCTCCTTGGACCGCACCGGGATGATGAAGTGCTTCTTATGCAGCGACGCAGACCGGCGCTCATCGCCCTTTCGCGGCCACGACAGCTTCAAGCCGTAGCCCAGACATTGCCGGCCTTTTTTAACGCAATTGTTGCAGTGCGGCTGAGTCTTGTCACAGGCAGTCTTTTGTTCTGTCAAGGTGAAGTGGTGCTTCAGAGTTAGCGGCTGAGTCGGAAGAGGGGGGGGGGGGGGGCTTTTATATTTATAGAAGGGAGGCCCTACGACGACAGTTCCAGCAGCGCTTCTGCGTTTGAGTCATGGAGAAAAATATAAAACTAACGAATGAATAGTATAAGCGTGTAGTTGATATTAGTTGCAGAGGGAGTTGGCAATAGGCAGGTTATTGCGAACCCTGTAACTAAGTATGTAGCTGCAGACAATCTTGATGACAAATGGACGTGATACGAAGCAATGCTTTGCTAGAGCTTAAAAATGCAAGACTGAGAAACGCGGTCCGGGGCGGCGCCAGTTTATTAACGCGATGACATGCCAATGCTATTTCAAAAAAACTCTAGGGATAACTTATGTCAGCGCCGAGCATTAGATTACGCCAGCCTAGACGTGGTAAAAGCTGGATTACCATTAATGGCAATATCTTCCATGTGCGTCTTGACGTAGCTATTACTGCTGGACTTTGATTCTTGAGTCATATGCTTGCTGATTATTCGCGGCTGCAACTGCAAGTCTCACGGCTGAATTGATTTGATGTCAAGTGTCTAATCTCTACAAGTTACAAAGGGGGAGGGGGCTACCTATTATTCAGCACCCCCTTTTCACTTCCCAATATCCCAGCCAACAAGCAGTCAGTCCACGCATGAAATATTAAACTGTTTTATACACTTGGTAGCAGTAAAGATAGTAGATTAAAATCGCTGAAAAATCCCACGGCTGGGATGCTGGCCAAGACAGCTGCCAGATCCCAAACAACACTCTATTCGATACATGTACGTCCTATGCGCTTCAACACCAACGTCAACACCAAGCATACATATACAGCCTAATGAAACTCAGCCTCTACCCGTCCATACCTCACCCCATCCACCTTGAGCTCAAATCCCAACCCCGCGCTATCCACAATCATCTCCAGCGTGAAATCGAGATTGTCAAACTCCACGCCCCTCGTCGTGGTCAACCTCGTAAACAAGCTCCTCGGCACCGCATTCAGATCCGTCGTCAGCGTGCACACGTTGACCAGATCCCGCGTGTACGCCGCGGGCGGGTCGTCAGCGTCGCACGCAATCAGGTCGTCCGTCACAATGAGCGACTGGCCGGGACGAAAGTTGCGGGTGTAGTGGAAAGCAATAGGGGATAGAGGAGAGAGCGATTCACCCTGTTATCGAATCATTAGACGTGGAAATAGTTTCCCAAAAGAACACTTAGACGTACCTTGGCAATGTGCCACTGCATCCGATCTGATACCATCCACCGCTCCCACAGCGGCGACCAGTATCGCTCGCTCACAGAGTGCTTCTCCTCATCATACACCGTCGCAAACGACGTTCCATAGTGCATCCTCGATTTTCTCGAAATCACCATGTTGCCCTCCAGGCCCCTCAGCACCGCTCCGCGCACGACCGCCGTCCACGCATACACCGGCTGCATCACCTCAATGGACCCGCTGTCCTGCGATGAATTTGCGTTGGCATGCGTTGGCCGCTCGCTATACGGCGGCGGCGCGGCGCTCGAGAAGTGTGACTTGAGCCGTCGGTAGAGATAGTCGCTCTGGCCGAAGCCGCCGACTAACACGATGCCGGAGACGATGCCGCCCTTGCCGCGGAGGCCTTCGACTTGGCCTTGTACCAGATCACAGACCTCCTTAACGACGGGCTCGAAGATGTCCTTGATCTGCTCGGCGCTCATGACCATGAATCCCGAGTCGAGTCCTGCTTCTTCATCGTCGGGAAGACCAGGGAAGCTGTAAAAGTAGGTCAGCTCTGGAAATAATTAAGGCGTGAATGTGAAATACATACGGAACATTAATCTCCTGGTGTTCATCCTCGTTGAAATTGCGCTTGACAAACTCTTCAAAGTATCGCAGGCCCATCTGCCACGTCTTGCCCTTTTTCGTCTTCATCTCGTCGAACCGGGCCTGGCCTAGCCTGGTCCGGACATGCTCCTCAAACCTGTAATTCAGGAACGCGCTTCCACACAGTCCTCCCGTTCCCACTGCAGATTCCTCGACTCTCAGTGGTTTCAGGGATATAATTTTGTACGCAATCAAGCTAGAATCTGTTAGCTCTTGCTTCGTAACAGGGAGAAGACATGATATACTCTACCGTTCCACCGCCTGCATCACAAACGATGAAATTATCACCAATGTTCAAATGATTCGGCTGAATCGCCTTGAGCGTATAAACCGCCGCCGCCTCCGGCTCGCTAATCATCTGAATCTCCGACCTGCTCCCCATGCCCGCCCGCTCCGCCGCCTGCAGCGTCGTATTCTTGGCCGCATCGCTCCATACCGCCGGGCACGTCAGCACAAACTCGACCTTTGTCGACGCCATAAACGACTCGCCGTAGCGCCGCGTCAGGGTATCCATGGTGTGCTTGTAAATCTGGGTCAGGTAGTCGCTAACAGCATCCACGACGTTCTTGTTGAATTTCTTGAGTTGCGCCGCCGTGTCCAGCGGGCTGACGTAAAAGGGGAGTTTCTGGGAGCGATCGAGGAACAGCTTGATGCATCGCAGCCGTGACTCGTCTGGCTTGAACTGGAACCCCCATTTCACAGTGGGCTCGGCGCCGGTTGAGTCGTTGGCTGGGAAGCTGTATGCAATCTCCGTGGGGACTTTGTCTGAGGTGATTCCATTGCCGCCTGGCCACGTCTTGATGATTTCGACGTCATCCGGCGTTGATGTATATACCGCGGCGACACTGAAGCCAAGTTAGCACACAAATCTTATACTCCTCCTCTCAAGCCAGTCAAGAAAGAACACCGTCCACTCACCCCGAAAATGTCGTTCCAAAATCCACTCCCACAATCAGCCGATCCGTCATCGGCGGCTGCTCCCTCACCGGCTCCCTCACCGGGCCATTAATCGCCTCCGTCGAGCTCGGCGGCGTGTAACTGGTGAAGTAGCTCCTGCTCTCCTGATTCCGCCGACTCGGCGTCGTACGCACCGGCAAACTGAGATTCTGCATCTTTTTCTTTCAACAACGGCGCAATAGTCACTCCCGATATTACAATCCTCAGTGAACACAGCCAACGCTTTCATGTCCAGGAGTCTAGCCCCTCTCCTCTCTCACTCTCTCCAGCCCTTCCTCCGTCACTCACGTGGCCGTATGTGGAAGAGTACCACGCTCAGATAATTGCCAGGATGCGAAATATAAAACCGGCAATGCAATCCGCTGATGAGAAGATGTCGAAGAGAGTCGCCAAGAAGAAATGGTCCCGAGGAGTGAGTTGAAGCGCCAGGCCGTAAAATCGTCTATCCCCCCTTATCTTACCGCCGATTCACCAACAGCTCCAGCCAGAAATATCGCTGCCGCTATCGTCGTCGCCGTCCACATCAACTGCTCCCTCTCTTAATCTCTCGATATCCCCCTCGAATTCGAACTAAAGTCAAGATGAGAGATCTCGGAAAAAGCCTCTCAAAACTCCGGCCCCTTTCGCAGAGAACAATCGCATACAATCTCTTGCTTTCTCAACAATGAGATCCGAGAGAAAACTGCCGTCTTGGAGAGAGAAACCGAGCATATAAAAAGGCCAAAAGTCCCCTGGTCGTCCTTCTCAAGATTATCCTGTTGCCTGGTGTCCTTTTTTTTTTTATAAAACGTTCCAAGGCTGCCTTCAGCTTTCCCTCTTAGCGGGTGTTTCCCCAATCTATAGCGCTGGGCTGCCCCCCAGTTTGCCTTGGAGGGGCTTAGCGCGCTCACGTGATCATCGGTCGTATGCTTCTTTTGCCTTCTCTTATGACATTATTGATGTATCTTTTTGTTTGTTGCGCTGGCATTTTGGTGATTGTTGTAATTCGCTGCATTGCAGCTTTGAGACGTATTGCGCGTATACCATCAATGTCTGTAATTGAAATCTCTCACTTTGATATTCAACTCTCGATTACAAATAATATCGTGTATTGATACCCCAAAATAGGAAAAAAAGGGTTGACGTGGCAGTGCATCAAAACCAAGTAAACAGACCAGGTTCCCGCAAGGCTCCCAGATTTCGCGGTGGATCTTCCCTCTCATCGGCTACACCTCAAACTCATCTCATCTCATATGAGCCGTTCATGAGCTAGGCATCAATAAAAACAAAAACAGCCAAATTGCCTATTCTGCGTCTTCATCCGCCGCCTACTACCATCGTATCTACCGAGGCATTTGAATAGACGAAATACAAAAGGGAGCGAGGGCGCAACTCCGCCGGATACGCTTACATGGTGTCCTGTCCTGTCCCACTTGCAACCCTTACAACCAAGTACGGGCGCACACAATACCGTTTACCGTTTAGGCATCAAGATACAGCCGCAGTGGGTGTTAATAAGCGGGAGACGGAGATTTTTTTATATACGACACGATACATCCCCTTTGGTCCCCTCTTCGTCATTGCACCTCACAAACGTTTCCAGCTTAAGAATCAATCACTACATATATAACAAGTCGATAAAAAAAAATATGGAAAGGAATTATAGACCAAGATCAGAGTCTGATAAATTATGCTTCATTGCTTTTAATAAATTGTCTGAGGGGTGTAGAGTAAATACGCAATATAAAGAACCAGTGTTCACATCAATTAAAAATTCCACTGTCCCATGAGTTTAGCAATTAACAATTGCGCCTGTATTGCCTCAGCCTCAAAATCTGGGGGGATCTTTTGTTTGCAAAAAGAAAAAGTTGGTAAAAACGACCGTAAAGAAGAGATATACTATAGATATATATATGTGTGTATTCCAACCACAGTAAAAACAAGAGAAAAAACGCCACAGACTCCAGTCCCTAATCTTCAGTCTTTCTTCTTCTCATTCTTCCTCTTCTCGTCTTCTCCCCCCTTGGTATAAATAAAAAAAGAAAAAGAAAGAAGAAAGAAGAAACGATTTTGACAAAGGAAATAATATAATATGGTGTACTATGTGAGGTATGTGGGTTCAAGCAAGGCGAGAGCCAAGCTCGCCCTTCTCTTGTTCAGTCTATCGTGGGGGTATTTCGGGTGCTATAAGAGCGCGCTCAAATTGTTTCAAATATCGAAAGAAGCGAAAAAATCCAAAAGGTATAAATAACTCAAAGGCAGCCTCGAGCTGCGGCTCCGATTCGTCTTTGTCGAAAACCTTCCCGAGGGCGATGTATCGTGTGTAGATGGATGTATGTAAGTTGAGTAGGTGTTTGTGCCAGCCGAAATACGCAGAATAAACCAAAAGAATTTGATACCCCAATCGAAAATATTGGAAAAAAAAAAAAAAAAAAAGCCCATGATATGATGGTCGACCCGGCGACTCAAGATCCAATGAGTGAGAGAAACTGTGTCGCACACCAACACCAAAACACCATTTATCATGCGAAGAAAAAAAATAGTACACGCCATATTAATAAAAAAAAAACCCAACTTTTTTTGTTGCCTCACCACTGAACATGAACATGTCCCGAGAGAAGAAAAAACAAAAGAGACTCCCTCCATCGCGCGATAAACGAATTATTAATGGGATCTCTTAGATGCGGTTGCCAGCAGCCCAAATGCTGGCGGAAGCCGAAGCGCTCCACTCACCACCTTCGTATGGGGGAGTGGGCCACTTGTACTGGTTCGAGGTTTTCTTGCTGAGATCGAGAGGCTTCGGTGCCATGGCCTCAGCGCCGTCTGCGTAGAGCAGTTGGTTGCTGTTGGCAGACGGTGACGGGCTGGGGTATGGTTGAGAGCTGGACAGGCCCAGATTGCTCGCAGACTGTCGCAGCGGCTTAGTGTTGTTTTCCAAGCGCTTCATCGCCCTCTGGGTCGCTGTAAGAGCCTCATCAAGGAGCTCGTCTTCCTCGGCCGGTGTCTCGTACTGCTGAACATCGTGAACCGCTTGGGCACGTCGAGTTCGGCTCGAGATGGGGCCGTTTCGGGCGGCGCCAATCAGGTTGTCGACAGATCTAGGCTGTTGATACGGCAGCGAGTGGTGGCGCTTAAGCTTTCCGGCAGCGGCAAGCTGATGTGACGGGGGAACGGGAGCTCGGGGCTCAGCGCCCTGGACATCGTGCAGGGCCTTGTCCAAGGACTCATATCCTCCTTCCACCTTTGGGACGACGCTCACTTGCTGGTCAACAAGCATAGATGATCGGTTGCTGTTCCAAGGGCTGCATCCCACTTGCGCTTCCATGTCGTCGTATGCTGGCGAAACAGGAGTCTGGTGGCGGCCAGAGAAGCGCCTAGCTCGCTTGCGAAGGTGCGAGAAGAAGCTTTCTTTGTGAGCGCTGGGAGGTGACACAAGACCCGACTGTCCGTTCAGAGCGCGTTCGGCCTGAGCGCGGTGCAGCTCGGTGTAGTTGTTGTTGCTCGAGTTCACGGAGAGCTGTCGGCCAAGCTTCTTGCTCTTGTCCTGGCTGTCGGTGTTGCTGTTGGCACGCGCCGTCACGGCATCGGACAAGGGCGAAATCGGCTTGATGGAAGGCAAAATTGGCATTGGCGCCGCGCTGGAGAGGCCGTTGGCCCAAGTTGTCCGCTTGGACTTGGCAACCTGCTTAGTATTGGCGGTATCGACAGTGCTGGATGTTTGCACAGGCGACGGCTGGATGGGGGCAACAACCACGGTTTCGGGAATGTCGCTGCGGCCAATGAGAGACTTGCGGAACCAAGAGGGTTTTGAGACAGAGTTTGAGGGAGCCAGACCCTCTTTGGAGGCGCGGCTCAGATCGGACTGCTTGCGACCCAGAATCTTGGAAGCCGATGACTTGGGCCTTGACGGATCCGTAGCGTCGGCAAAATACTCGTGATTCAAAGACTGCGTAGACGTAGGACGGTTCTTGGGATCCCACATCAAACACCAGGTGACAAAGTGGCTCAGCGCTGGCGGCCACTGAGGAGTCTGCAGGATGGTGTCCATGGCATGCGGCGCCATCTTGGGAAAAGAGAAGCCCAGCTTAGAGGCCAGTCTGGTACCTTCGCGCCATTCGCCTCCTCCTACGCGGGCACCGGCTTTGTTGTACCAGTTTCCAGGGCTGCCCATGATTTCGCAAACTCTCCAGACCTGGTCAACCTCGTTTCCACCAGGGAACAGCGGCTTCAGCGTAGCAATCTCGACGGCCATGGCGCCGACGGCCCAGATGTCGACGGGCGCCGAATACTCGCCGGCGCGCAGCAGAACCTCGGGCGCTCGGTACCATCTTGTGGAGACGTAGGTGGTGTACGGGAGCTTAGAGTGAGTCTCACGGGCGAGACCGAAATCAGCCAGCTTGACGGTGTAAGTAGGAGGAGTCGAGGGTGGTGTGACCAGGGCAGAGTATCTTCGGAATGAATTTGAGGTGTCCTGGTGGGCAGACGTCGAAACGAGAATGTTCTCGGGCTTGATGTCGCGGTGGAAGAAGTTGTGGGAGTGGATGTGCTCGAGACCCTGCATAATCTGGAACAAAATGCTCTTGACACTTGAGTTGTCGAGATATTTGTGATCTCTGGCCTTCATCAGCTGGTACAGATTGCCCTCCATGTACTCCATGGCAATGTGTAACTTTTTCGTAAAGGGATCTAAGAAGATGTCGAGAGCGGGAACGAGATGGGGGTGAGGAGGGAGGGTTCGGAGAAAGACGACTTCTCGAAGCTCAAGGCATGGCGACAGAGACTCGAAAGTCTTCTTCATGGACTTGATTGCGACCTGTGGTGAACGTGTTAGCCAATAACTCGCACGAGCATACGTGAATTCTCGGTGTCTTACAAGAGTGCCTCGGCGAGCAACCACTGCGCCCGCCGTCCGGGTTCGAGCCAGGACGACGCTGCCGAAACTTCCATCGCCAATCTCCTTGATGACCTCGAAGCGGTCTTCGAGCGCCATGGTGCCGTGAGGCTGTTGCCGCAGCGTCATTTCCACGGTGGCCATGTTGCTGTGTGGTTGGATCTGACTAAGACAGGCTCGTCTCTAAGAAGTTGCAGAGCAGCTTCAAGCAAGACGCCGTGAGAGATGGGAGAGGGGCGGTCTGCAATAAAAGGGAATAGATTCGACCGATAGCAGAGACACCTA